AAATGTCTGCTCACCAGAATTTAAATTGTACTGTTCATATAGTCAGGGTATGTTGTTCATGGCTCACTGATCCTGTTCCCAAAGTTAAGAGTATTCACACCGAATCAAAAACAGAAAAAAAGAATTGGAAAGTACAATTATTTTTTTAGTCTAAGGCCCCTGAAATTAGAGTTTATTGGTGACTATGCAGAGGAGTCAGTCAGAATATAGATACTTAGTCCAGGTATAAACCAACCCTCCAGGGTAACTAAGATTAATTCTGTGGTTCCTAACCTTAAACAAAACACCTACTTAAGTGAAGATTCAGATTTTGTTACTTTATAAGAGACAATTATAATTCAGGGTAGTATTTAAAGGTTATAATTCAAAAACATGGTAACTTTTTATCATTAGGGAGAGAAATTGATTTCATTTACCCTAATGTTTCTGCACAGTAAATAGGTAGCTTCCAAATCATTATTTATGTCCCAGCTTTTGAGTGATGGGTTACAATATTTTATTCCATTATTATAATCAAAAAATTCATAAAAATATTTTTGTATATTAAATATTACATAAATATTTTAGTGGTGTGCTCACTTGGGAGATGGGGTACCTCTGAGGCCAATGTTTCAAGTCTACTTTGGTGACTCACTGGGTAATTCTTAGGCGTCACCCAAAATTATACATACAACCACACCTCAAAGATATCTTTTGACAAGCATAAGGCTGAGTTTTAAGGACATACTGAAATTCTCACAAGGTACTACTTTTTTTTTTTTTATAAGTTTTAACATAAATTTCAATTTGCATGGCAATGTTTTGTTTTTCCCATTACTCTGGACAGCTCTTTGAACTACCATTGCAGATATATACAATTTAAACTTCTAACTACCTCCTCTAACTTCCAAACTCATTAGCTTCCTAAAATCAAATCTCTCCTTCCTGGGACTCCTATTCCGAGTAAAAGAAGCATCACAGTCATTGATCCTGGGATTCACATCTTTCTCATTTTTAAAAGATCACAAATGTCAAGTCTGGATCTACCTATAAATCATCTCCTCCCCACTCACCCAACTCCTTCCCTGGCTTTGTTCACACTCCCTGTAATTAACCTACCCAAGTCCAACCTTTCTCCAGAAACTTGATATATACAGTCAAAGCAATCCCACACGATGATGCCATTTCTCTGTGCTCTTACCTTTGCTGCCTCAAACTTTGTCCCACCTTTTCCTTATCTGTTCAAAATCTAAATAAACATCCATCAAGTTCTGCACAATTTAAACCTCCTACAATTAACTGACCCTTATACATACTCCCAAGTGCTCTACTCGCTCTTCTCATAGAACTGTTCAGTTTGTATGACTTGAGGGCCAAGCTTACATCTTATTTACCTTAAGAATGAAGAACAGATGTTTAATATATATTTGACAATTAAAATGCACTGAACTCTCCATCTGGTGAGTTGTTTTCTAACTCAGTCTTTACCAGTGAGTTCAAATGCCCCCATAACAACTGGAGATCTCTGATGGAATTCAGATTTTTAAGAGATTTCCATTATAATGGGAACTTGTCAGCAAATAAGTATTGGCCAATAATTCACTTACCCAGAGTTAATTATTAATAAATACAAATATTAGAGTCTTATTTGAGAGACGTGTTAAAATACTCAGCATCATTTATCTTTAAACATTTGACAGGTTTTGATTAAATACTTGAATTACAAAATTCTCTCCCAGCATCACCAGCAAGTACTGGCAGGTGGGGAGGAAGATGACTTCGAATGGCGCTGCTGTCAAGGCCAGACTGAAGTAGCTGCATTTCTGAAGTTAAAACCCAGAGAAACATTATAAAGTTAAAGAATGTTAGGTTCTCTGTAGAGCTGAAATCCTCTCATTTAAATGCAATGTGTCAAAAATATTTAAAAGCATCACAGAGGAAAGAAAGGACCTGGGTTAAAAGAAGCCTAAATCGGGGCGCCTGGGTGGCTCAGTTGGTTAAGCGACTGCCTTGGGCTCAGGTCATGATCCTGGAGTCCCGGGATCGAGTCCCGCATCGGGCTCCCTGCTCGGCAGCGAGTCTGCTTCTCCCTC